TGCTTTGATAAAACACCATGGCCAAGGAAGTTACAGAAGGAAGGGGGCTTATTTGAGCTTGTGGACGGTGGGTGAGACCCCTGACTCAGTGGGTGCTTGAGTCTGAAAGATGGCTCCTTAGTGATGTAAATAAGGGACTGATCATTGATTCAAACTAAAAGTGCACCCAACCAGGTCCTGCTCAGTAACTATTGCTGTAACATTAGAAGTTAGACAATAAGAGCAATAAATAGATGTGCTCTTTTCTCTAGGTAAATATTGAATTTAGACTCACTTTATGCAAGTTTCCTGGCATATAATGCAAGAATATGACATGTTGAAAAGACTTGTGACTCATTATTTATAACATAGACAGGAGATGACCCAGATAGTGGAATGACCAGATGGTGCGTTCAGTATAGCTGTTACAAAAAGACAAAAAGACCAAGGGATCCAATACAAAGGATGGACAATGGTGTAAAAAGATGGACCAGCAGCAGTATGTTGCTATAGAAATAGAACTGCCAGAAAAGCAGGGATTCGTTAGATGGGCTTGTTAACAATAGACTAGACACAGAAGGAACGATGGAGAGAGTAAGACCCGCTGATGGAGTCATGGGACAGAGGCCGCAGCAGAAGGATCCAGCCGAAGAGCAGAGCAGTGTTCGTGATCGTCAGTTTATGAAATGATGTAGTGCTGGAACCGGAGAAGGCAGAGAGGGGCCATGAGGCCCGAGAGCATGTGAGCAGATGGTCCACACATTTCACCCATAAGTGCAAAGCGGAAGCAGACCATACACCCCTTTCCTTGGCATAAAGATGAAATACCAAGTGCCGATGCCTGAGCTTGTTCATTGTGGTCATGCCAAGAGGAGGCTGGTGAGACGAGAGAGTGGAAGCTGGTGGGGAAGCATGTGCGTCATCTGCCAGGGCTTCCCATGAGGTTCCAGCACGGCGGTGGTGGCGCTCGCCTTTAATCCCAGCACTCGGGAGGCAGAGGCAGGCGGATCTCTGTGAGTTCGAGGCCAGCAAATTCCAGGACAGCCAGGGCTGCACTCCGTAAACTTTTCATTTCATTCTTTCTTTCTCTCTGATGAGGCTATTCTAACCCTTTGGAAACAATTTAAGTGGGCATGCTAGAGAGTAGGCAAAGTTGATAAGTGCTTGAATAACAGCTCCGAGCACCCTGTGTTCCTGCTTCATGGTTCCTTAAGGAACGTCAAGAATTCACTGTTTTACTATGCCCGTCATTGTTTTTAAAACAAAAGCGTGGCTATACTGAATCTAGATAAGCTAATTCATAATAATTAAACAATTATTCATAATACTGAATTTAAAAAGCAGACCCACACAGGACACAGCCCCTTAGCCCTTCTGCATGAGACCAAGGAGGTGTTGCTCAAGAAGGGGGTGGAAATGCACCTCACACTTCGGGGTCTGGTTTTCAGATAGTGTCTTGGGGGGAGGAGAAGTGAATACGCTAAGTGCAGATGGTGTCTCTGGCAGTGACATTCGTCAGTGATACTGCAATAGTGAAAACTCAGTGTATACCAGAGCAAGAGCAGCCTTCATCCCTGCTGTGGACTCTGAGTGGCAGTGCTGTGTCCCTGCAGGGTCCCTCAGCTGATGTGGGGAGTGAGTGGCAGTGCTGTGTCCCTGCAGGGTCAGTCAGCTGATGTGGGGAGTGAGTGGCAGTGCTGTGTCCCTGCAGGGTCCCTCAGCTGATGTGGGGAGTGAGTGGCAGTGCTGTGTCCCTGCAGGGTCAGTCAGCTGATGTGGGGAGTGAGTGGCAGTGCTGTGTCCCTGCGGGGTCCCTCAGCTGATGTGGGGAGTGAGTGACAGTGCTGTGTCCCTGCAGGGTCCCTCAGCTGATGTGGGGAGTCCGCATATGAAGAGAGCAATATGGCCATCTGTTTCTAGCTTCTGTGTGTCTATCTGCCTTACTGTATATCTAAGTTTGCTGTAAATAAAATAGAAGGAAAAGAAGAAATTGTTGTTGTTGTTATTATTATGATTGGTTTTGGCTTACACATTTAGAGAGAACACTGCAGAACTTAAACTGTGTCTGAGTGTGGAAGAAGAGGGAGCTTGTTGCAGCCGCCCTCTGCACTCTGGTATACCCAGACCCATCATCTTGTGCACCCTCCACAGACTTAAGAAAGTAAGAAAAATGACTTAAAACATTTACAACTTAGCTCTCAGTCCCCCGAGCACTGGTATTTTACAACAACTAGGTCTCTTTAAAATCATCAAGCTTCCTCTTTATACATTTGTAGCTTAATTTAGTTTGGGGTATGGAGATACTTGACTTTTTAGCAAGTGGGCTGTGCTTCTTTTAGTAAATGCCTGTAATGTGCAAGAATCAGAGGACAAGATGGCACTCTCAGCTTGGTGACTGGGCACTGAGTGCAACCACTTGCAATTGCTCAAACATATCCTTCTGAAATTCTTTTAGTACTTAAATTCTAAACCCCGATGAAACAAAATCATCTAGTTTTCATTCTTCCTAGAAAAATCAACATCCGCAAAAGATGGAGTTACGTGTCCGTGTGTAAGTGCCTTCTGTTTAATAGGATGTGCTGGTATTTACAGTCTGGCCTGTGATTCCTGAGTCCTCGTGAGCACTGCCTTTCTCAGGCCGTCTTTTCTGTGTTATAATGTCCTTGCAGCTGTTTCTCAGCAACATCCCTGCAGGTTTCATGGCTTCTTTGCTCAAGAAGTCCCTAAGATATCTGGGCTCTCAGCCTGGAGTTCTGAGTGTAGCTGTGTTCATCTTTTTCCTTGGACTCCAGGTTGCTTCTTCAAAGAATGTCATGAGATTGGGCTTGTGTACAGAAGTCTGCAGGAAATAGCATTAGATTATTGATTTTTTTTTCTTTTTGGTTTTCCGAGACAGGGTTTCTCTGTGGCTTTGGAGGCTGTCCTGGAACTAGCTCTAGTAGACCAGGCTGGCCTCGAACTCACAGAGATCTGCCTGCCTCTGCCTCCCGAGTGCTGGGATTAAAGGCGTGCGCCACCAACGCCCGGCTTAGATTATTGTTTTAATGGCTGATTATGAACAAAAATGTATTCTAAATCATAAACAGTGATTCACTACACCGCAGCCACATAGAGGGTTGACTCCTCGTCTCTTGCCTGTGTGAGGGCCTTGGACCTCTGGTGTCGAACAGGACTGGCCTTTGTGGGCCTCTGGTGTGGAACAGGACTGGCCTCTGGTGTGGAACAGGACTGGCCTTTGTGGGCAGGGACCACGGCACTTCCTCCGAATCTGTGCAGTGTGTCACAGTGATGGGGACAGGGTCTCAGCTGCAGGAGCCTGTCTAGTCTGGAGCCTTCCCTCCTACTACTGGGGAGGCTGAGAACAGACAAGACATCTGGGCAGATGTTCAGTCTCAGTCCCTTCCTGTGGCAGAGCCTCATCTTTCCCTCCATGGCACTTCCTCCCAGGCCATGCTTGGAGACCTGCTGTGTGGGCTTAGTGAGTGTTGCCATCACTCTCTGAAGCAGCAAGGTAGCCATTGGGAGTGGCCTCTGGTTTCAGCAAATCCTTAATTCCTGCCTTTATGCAGCAGGCCACAAATGACACTCCTGCTGCAGAACTTGAGTCACAGAGAAGTTATCTGAACCCAGAAAGTTAAGACTAAGCTTTAGGGAATTTAGGTATTGTTTCCTATAGAGACTAAGATTCCAATAATGGGTGGTAACAGGTAAATTTATAATTAATATGAAGTAGTCTAGTTTTATATGTGTGTGCATGCAGATGTATAGATGCAGTTAGGCATGGTGTCTATGGTGATTTATTTAAAAGGTAACCCCTTAGCTTTAATTTTTAAAAGTAGCAATTTCTTTGACATAAAGTCAACAGTGAAAAGTGTGTGTGTGGGGGTAGGGGTGGGAGGGAGGGGTTATCTCATCAAAATTTGATTTAATTTACTTATTTAATTTCACACAATAAAAACTAAACAAGGTATGGAACTCATTCTCCATGGCTGTCGGATTTTTTTCTCCTCAGAGTCTTTATAACACGAGGCGCTTTTTCTTACTCTCCTGCCTCCACCCCCCTCTTCCTCCGCTGCCTCCTCCACTGGGAGGAGCTGTCACTTGGCCAGACGGTCTGCTCCTGTGTCTTCTGTGGGGCAAACCGTCTGGTCCTCACTTAAGGTGGGTGAGTGAACACGCCTCTGCCCGCTCGCGCATGCCCACTTCGCTGTGTCTCCTGGAAGTGAAAGGTTTCCATCCTTACTTCCTTTGGCACAGCCGTTGTTTCCAATGGTGAATATTCATGTTTATAGATGAGTTAGAACTATGTTCCTGCTGCTCTTCGAAGAAGTAAAAGCAGTGGAGTGGGCAAGCAGACAGGGACACACTGAGCTTCAGAAACTAACCTTGGGTTCTGGAGACACTAACCCTGAACTCCCTCTGAGAGGATCAGCAGAGATGCTGCACTCTTGTTCTCTGCCTGCGGCTGGCGCATGACTCAGTCCTGGGCTGCCGGCCAGTTCTCCTCCATAGACCCATGCACTCTTCCCAACCCTCCTTCTCCATATCCACGCTTCTTTAAGTGTCATTTCCTGTACTCGCTCTCCATCCATGTGCGATGGTACAGCGGACCTGAAGATGTGAAGACTGAGCAGGTGTTTCTTTTGTGCCGTGCAATATTCAGAGAAGTGCCTGCTGAGTGGCTTCTCAGGGCTCTGCCACCCCTTCCTAGCTGTGCACCTGGCCTCCCTTCCCTTGGTCACTGCCTTTGTGACCCTCGGGTTCAGTGAGCCCTTTAGAGACTCAACTCGGCTCACATGGAATTCACAATCACATGATTTATATGGTTCCCCCCAAATCAAGGCATTTATTGAGAGACCAGAAGAGCAGAATGCTATAAATTTATATGCACTGGTTATGCCAGGAAGATTATATTTGACATAGTTAGAAAACTGAGCTATGAACAAATACCTAAATATTAAAGTGTAAATACTCAATAGTTTGCTGCTGCTAATTTGATGGCTGCTTCTTATTCCTTCTAGGAACGAAAGGAGAGGCTATCCAAATTTGAATCTATTCGTCATTCAATTGCTGGAATAATTAGGTCTCCAAAATCGGCACTGGGCTCATCGGCAGTAAGTAGAATTAACTGTGTGCTCTCCCAGGGATCACTGTCTTCATAGCTGTGTTTAAGGATTTACCAGTCACAGTATTTGTGCCTCCCACCTTCATGGCGAGTGCTACTGTTCTCATGTACTTGATGTTCATCTCGTGTCTAGAAGAGTGACCTTGTTATTCAGCTTGTAGTTGAAGTACGTGATGTGAAGTTGCCAGTGACTACTGGTGAAAAGTGCCATCATTGATAAAACATTGGTTTTCTTAAACACAAAATACAAAGTACAAAACTGAGTTATTCTCTCAAGATGATTTCTCCACACCATACTTCATCTTCAGATCTACCAATAACTTCTTTGGTGTTAATTGAACCTCGTATTTCAAACCCTTTGCAGACTTACTGAGTTCTCCATACTCTTCCAGTTTTAAGTACATGGCAGTTTTGATGGTTAGTTGACTGACTAGGGGGAGAAGGCAGGCAGACATCCCTGCTTCTGCCACTTCCTTCAGGAAGACCCTTCGAGAATGACATTATAAGGATTCCTCGTCTTTAGGTACTTTTGCTGTTGAAATAGGTTCCTACTATAGTAATTTTTCTAATTACCTTCCTTAAAAACTGTCAGCTCTTGGTATCAGGTCACAAAGAGCTTTGGACAGCTTTCACACTCACTTTACTTGATTACCAGTGGTTGGTTTGCTGTATATTATTATTTTCATTGTTGTTAGCACTTAAAAAAAGGCTTACTATACTTATGAGAAATTTCCACAAAAATTGTCACATCATACACATATTTTTAATATTTAAGGGTCATATATGGAAGAACAATCACCAAAATGTACAATACACCCAAGGCCTGTTTGGGTCATCTTTTTATTGCCAATAAGATGGGTTTTGGGTAGTAGAATGCTGGACTTGGACTCATATATTTCCAACCTCTTCAGTGGTACGGAGCAGTGAAGGCTATCGTCAGAACTAGTTTTCTTTTACTGCCTAGGTATCATCCAATTCATAGCGTCAGCCTATAAATCCTCATACACGATGTTTCTATGTTTGCCTTTTACTGATCTTCTTAGTAAGCTTTCCTTTCCTGTAACTAAGTGTGTGTGGTAAATGACCCCGAGGAAGAAAGCCTTATTTTGGCTTCTTGGTGGAAGTACACGCTTAGCTCTCCCTTTCCAAGGACATGCCCCCACATGGTCTGTCTCCTTTCCTTTGGCTCCACTCACCATGGACTGATTACCAAGTCTTCAACACTGGTCGTTTGGAGGACATTGTAGATCCAAACTAACTTTATTATTGATGATGGTTTTTCCAGCTTATAATGTGTCTTCATAACGGTTATCCACCCTATATTCTGAGAACCATAGTAATTTGTGTAAAAGGTTCTATTTTGCCCATAAAATACTCCAACAGTGTGGGGCAGTTTAGTTCTTGTGGATGAATAGAACACAAGAGAACTCACTTATGGCCATAACACGGGCGATTTCATCCACCGCTAATTTTAGGAATCTCAAAGCAGCGTAGCTAACTCTCACTTATTTCTCTTTGGGATGAGCATGTGTCCTCCTGAGACAGTAGGTGACTTGCATTTCTTTCTGTTTTATGACTTATAATTGTCCCCACGTGTGTTGTTCGCATGCTGCTCATGGTCTCTGATGCTCTTTCACCCAGGGCTTTGTCTGCCATAGCTTTGCAAAACCAAGACCAGCCATGTGGCAGAGTAATGGCTTAGCAGAGGTGAGGTGGAGGAGTGAGAATAGCTTAGCCGTGCAGCTGCAGGCTGAAGCCCAGAGCCATCCCACCTACCGTGTCATGTGCAGTGTGCAGTCTGAGTGGGCCAGAGCTAATTAATTCAGTGAAAAAAAGTTTAATTTGCTTGTGATAAATTTCTCTGAACATACTTTTCCATAACTTTTCTGATTATGAATATTGCTAGATTTATTTCATGAAATTTTTAATTAGCCGATGAAGGCAGAGCATATGTAAGAAGTACTTTTGCTTGCAGTGAATTTTATTAGGACAAAATGAGCTTTGTTTTTTCTAACTTGGTTTTCAAACATTTGTTCAGCTCTCTGACATGATCTCCGTGAGTGAGAAGCCCCTGGCGGAACATGACTGGTACCATGGCGCCATCCCCAGGATAGAGGCACAGGAGCTGCTGAGACAGCAAGGGGACTTCTTGGTGCGCGAGAGCCATGGGAAACCCGGTGAATATGTCCTTTCCGTGTACTCCGATGGCCAGAGGAGGCATTTCATCATACAGTTTGTCGATGTACGTTCCCAGTCTAGCTCATGGGTACTTCCTGATGGACTCCAATGTGGTACACTTGAAATGTGATGATGGGTGGTTTATAAGAAAGTATAAAATTGGAATTTTTCCATAATTCCATAAATATGATGTTATAAAATGGACTAAAATATTAAATCTTAATGAGAAAATATATTTAAAAGTTAATAAATTTAAATGTAATCTAAAATGTTGAATCTGAGTACTAGCATATTTTAAATTAAAATGAAAATAATGTAAATACTGTGTATTTTTCTTCCTGTAGTAAAACTTAGGACTATGAGATGTGATCTTTTGAGGGCTCCTCTAGCTAGTTTCAAACTATGGTCTATTTTATTGAATAGTATGAATGAAATTCTTCAAAGTGAATTTATGATTCATTATTATTAGTCTTTTTCTGTTTTTTTCTATAATACCCATTAGTATTAATAAGCGATAAATAGAAAATTATAAATATAAACAATATATTCACATTATTTATCCTAAAGCTAATTTACTTTTTGAGATTTTAGAATTACTAAACTGCTTTCTTTGTAAAAGCTATTTATGAGGTGTGTGTCTGTGTGTGTGAGTGTGTGTGTGTGTGTGTGTGTTGGGGGTGAAGAGCTGCTGCACATGCATGGAGGTCAGATCACAAGTCTCAGATGTTATTTCTCTCCTTCTGCCTGGGTGGATTCTAGGGAAGCAAACTCAGGTCTCCAGACTTTTACAGCAAATGTATTTACCCATTGTGCCCCAAGTATTGCCAGACCACTCCCTGTTATGTCGTCTTTATTAAGCACTAAATAGATGAATAGTAATTTAAAATTTTTTGCTTTTACTGATTGAGAAATTTATAGTGATGGTTTTTTGGCAAATGGAGGAGGAGTTGTCTGTTTTTGTTATTTTTTCTCTGTTACTTCAAATGGCTTGCATACATTTAAAAACACCTTTTCACATGACTTAAGTTTCTGTTGAGTAAGTAAAGTAAAATTAATTACCTTTAGGAAACTTTAAGCCATGACCATAAGCAGAACCTGTAGGATTTTAGGAACTTAGTAAGTTGTATATATACTAATTTGAACTTAGGGTTGACTGAGCCATGAAATTTAGATTAACATATAAATTAGAAATAAAATGATACATATTTTAAAGTAAAACTTGGTGAAAATGTTCCGATAATAGCATTGTTTATTCTCTTGTTAATTCATTTAGGAAATATTTATTGAGGATTATGTTACGCCTAGACATATGAGTCATCAATAATACAAAATTAGAGGTGGTATTTAATATGTGAAATTTACTAGTTAGATAAATATATAAAAGAGGTGCTAATAAATCTAAAGGAAAAATAGACTGTTACATAACAGTAGCAGAAATCAATACCTAGCATTCATCAGTGACCAGATGATCTAACTAGAAAATCACAGAAGGAATATTGGAGTCAACCATGTCCTGGACACAATGAACCTAAGACACTTTTAGAGCATTGAGTCTCGTAGCCATTGTCTAAGCATTCTTCCCAACAGCACACGGAGCATTTTCCAGAACAAATCATGTGCTGGGCTACAAAAGTCTCTTTTCTGACCACTGTGGGATAAAGCTAGAAATGAAAAATAGGTAAAACCCTGGAAACAGCATTAGATACACGGACATCAAATACTCTCTTGAAAAATAAAGTCACTGAAGACATTAAATGAAAACTGTAAGATGGTGGGAAATGGAAACACATTACACTAAAACTTACAGACTATGGTAAACCCCATTCTCAAAGGGAAATCCTTAGCAACCACTGCCAACATTCAGAAAGCAACAGAAAGATTTCAGCCGGAGACCCTGTGGTGCTTCCTAAGGAACCAGAAAAATATGAACCACATCAGTAGAAGGAAATGTTACACATCAGAGCAGGGATAAATGAAATACTTGAAAGATATAAAAAAGACAAACTGAATATGTTGGTTTTGGAAAAGATAAACTTAATAAACCTTTAGCTAAATGAGGAACAATGCTCAGTGTCAAAGATGGGGGTAAGGTGTTAGGAGCTGACACTGCCAAAGAACAGAGGATCATCTAGAAGGGCTGTGAACAAAAGTATAAAACCACGTGGGACATGTCAAAGGGCTGTTGGGACGGCTCAGCTGCTGAGGACACCTGACACCAAGCCTGTTAGACTCACACGGCAGAAGGAGTACCGACCCCCATACATGAATAAAAAGTTATGGAAGAACAGATAGATTCTGTGGTACGCAAGGTGCAGAATTTGAGTAGCACGTTTAAGACCTTTCCTCCATAGTTGGTTGTCTTACTGTATAACCCAGGCTAGCCATGAACTTGGGATTTTTTGTTTCAACCTCCATAGTGCTGGAATTAGAGCTATGGACTACCATACTGGCCTAGAAATATAAAACACAAAGAGATTAATAATGAGTCCTGAGATTGAATCCATAATACTTACATTTACTAAAAATGACAATGAAATAATTTTATTAGTAAATTACTGTTATATCACGTTTTTAAAGTCATCAAAGCAAAAGCTTAACACTTGATGCTTTCCTTATACCATATGCCAATATTTAAAGAACTAGTACCAATTTTCTCAAAAGTATTTTAAAAAATTGAAAAAGAAGGAATCCTTAAAAACTTATGCGTACCTATACCAGATAGGAAACGATCTCAGAAGAAATTTATTGACCAATACCACTTATGAACATAGATATAAAATGTTAAATAAAATGCTAGCACACTGCATTTCATGCCACATTAGGAAAGATCATTCACTGTGATCATCAAATGATTCATTCCTGGGATGCAAGAATGCTTCAGTATAAAATAGCTGATGTATTCACAGAGTCAAACACAAAAAACAGGGAAATTTAATAGACACTTAAATAGCATCTTACAAAATTCAAAATTCATTCTTGGAATAATACCCCACACAACTCAGGGTAGAATGAATATACTGTAACCCAGTGAAAGTCACATGTGACAAGTCCACAGCTAATGCCATACTGAGTGGAGAAATAATGGGAAAGCTTCCTTCTCAAGTCTGGAGCAAGACAAGGATCATTGATTGATCAGCATAGTGCTGTAGGCCCTGGCCAGAACAGTCGACAAGAGAAAAAGAAAGGGAAGCCAGAATGACACAGGAAAGAGCAAACTGCCCCTGATAAAAGATGACCCGATCTTATGTATAGAGAATTCTAAAAGACATTTAAAAACCAACTGTTGGAACTAATAAATTCTATAAAATTAAGGATTCAAAATCAGCATCCAAACACGTTTGTATCTCTTCATGCACTTGATCTTAAGCTGAACGTCTGAGAACTAACCATATTTCTATATGCTGAGAAAGCCACCTGACTCCCCACCCCTCAAAAAATGAATAACAACCCCAGCTTGCATGGTCATAAGCACTAGCCACAAATTTAACAGAGAAGTGAAAGGAAAGGAAACCTTTGAAACATGGATGAAGGGCATTGAAAGCATACAAGTAAAACAAAGGTGCCCTGTATGCATGGGAAAAGTCAATAAAGTTAAATTGTCCCCATGGATGTACAGACTCATCAATAAAGAATTACAATAAACTCAGTTCATAAGAGACTGTGGATAAACCCAAAGAGCCAAAACAGTCTTGAGCAAAAAGAAGCTGGAGGGATCACATAACCAAACCTCAAAGTGTACGAGGAAGTTGTAGTTGCTGAAGTGACATTAAAAACAGAACTGTATTCAGTGATCAGATTTTTTTTTGGCAGAGCCAAGAGTGCACAGTAGTTCTGTTAGATAAGTAGTGTTGGGAAAATGGGTGACCATATGCTTAAGGATGAAACCACTGTCTCTCCCAATTACCGATATCAAAGAAAAAAACCTATTAAAGCTTACACATTAAAGAATCGTAACTCATGAAACCGCTAGAAGAAAACAGGACAAATGCTTCAAGATATTGACCTGGGAAGTGGTTTTTTCATGTATCTCCAAATATAGAGAATAAAAAACTGTTTGCTGGGTTCACATCAACCTTGAAAAGCTTCCACACGGAAAGGCAGCCATTGACAGAGTAAAGAGGCAGCTGGACAGAGTCAAGAGAGCATGTGCAGTCTACACAGCCAAAGGAGTTATCCCACAATGCACAAGGAATTTAAGCAGCTCAATAGCTCAAACCAAACAGGCTAATTCATAAAGAAGAAAGGTCTGAATAGACTTTTGAGCAATTTTCTATTTTTTTTTATAAAAAAGCCACATTTGAAATTCATGCTATGAGTCTTAATGTGCAATAAAAAGCCAACACGTTCTTTTGCATAACAATTCTAAATTTGTAGCTTATCTTGTGAAGTTGGAATTTTTTTCATTATATAGTAATCATGAAGTCATCATTAGGATAGGCAGTAACTACTCTGAAGTTTATAGCAGGGTTGATTTGAAGTTTCATTCTGTATGAGCTTCATTTTATTACTTATTGAACGTTGTACTTTAACATCTCATGCTCATGAGTGTGTGAACTTTCCTTTGTCCATTTGTAAACTGTCTGTCTTCACAATATTTAATGCATTTCATATCATTCACATTTATTTATTTCTGCAGGTCATAGGTTGTACTAGACCATAGGGGTATCACGCTGAGCAGAAAATGAACAAATTTGTTGCCTAGTGTGTCTGTGTTCTAGAAGGGAGATAGATAATAAAAAGCATAAGTAAAACTAGGGCTCAAGAGATGGTTTCCTGAGGACCTGAGTTTGATTCCCCTAGCATCTATGCTAAACATCTCACATCCACCTATAAGTCCAGCTTGAGGGAATCCAACACCCTTTTCTGGTCTCTGTGTGTGCATGCACGCGCGTGTGTATGCGCACACACACGCAAACACAGACATAAGCATGCATGAACCTTTAAAAATAAATAAAATATATGTGATGATGGGGTCAAAAGGTAATAGTCATATATTCTAAGGAGAAAATGTCAATAAGGAAAAGGAGGGAGAAATTAAATTGGGATGAGAAAATGGAGATTGTTGTGTAGACGGACAGAGTTAACGTCACAGAGAAGATATTTGATGGCAGCCCGGAAGAGACGTCAGTAAAGGAGATATTACCTATGGGGCTGGCTGCCTTATGAATTAATTCATGTAGCAGGCAAGCACACTCTCCGAGGAAGGAGTGCATATCGTATTTTAGAGCAGGAAGGTGATTTCAGTGCGTTGAGAGGAGGAGTGGTGCCCGGATTGTCATGCAGAGTCTCTGTCTTTTATTCATAGGAAGGAAGGATTTTAAGCAATGCAAAGGAGCGATCCGTGGGGACAACATATCCTAATTGCTGTGTTAAGAATAAGTTGGAAGAAGGGAAATGTAGAAGTCGTGTTTGCTGAGGCGGTGTTGGGGTTGTTGTTACCAGTGCTGCGCTTTTATGACAGGTTCCATTTTTGTGTCTCTACTGCACTGTGCCGTGGAACAGCAGAGCATATTCCTCCTCTCCAGTGGGATTTAGTCCATTTTATCCAGCTTCCTGCTGTTTCTCCCATGCTCTCTCAGCCTACAACCGTCCCTCCTGCCTTTCCTCCCTGGTTGTGTAGAACTGGAAAGTTCTATGTCTTAATGAAAATAAATAGTTACCTTAAAATGTGTATTGGCACCTGTGTCTGCATACTCCCTTGTGTGCTACAGTTAAGGCCCAGGAGGAACCACAGAGAAGCTTTAAATGCATTGCATTGCTGTTTTTCTGCCCTTGAAAGTGTGGCCAACCGGCTACCTCTGCATTTACTGCTGTCAATTCTTGCACCTAACAAAGGGTCTATTTACATAGGAAAGCCAGGAACCTCAGGACAGAGTGTGACAAAATGCTCCTTACCCAGTGACAGGAAATGTGACCTGTGCTAAGATCTAAGGCTGAAGAGATAGTTCAGCCATTGAGAGCATGAGCTGTACTTATGAAGGACCAAGTTCAGCTAGGCCCACAACCGCCTATAAATCTAGCCAGCTCTGGACTCTGAGTGTATCCACATACATGGCATGCGCTCACGTGGCATGGGCATTTGTAAAAATTCTGTGTCAGGCAAAACTCATGGTACCTGGCACGTACATTTACAATAACAAAATGATTCTTCATAAAAGGTGCTAAGCTCTGAGCTTGCTGATCCCAAAGGCATTGACACTGATACTCTTTCTTTTTTTCTTTTCATGTGTGAATGATGTTTGGATCTTTATTTTCTTATAGTCAATACTGCACTGAAGTCCTACTGTTGTTGTATTAGGCTTCCTCAAACTTTTGATGGTATTTTTGGTACTGAAAATTTATTGAAGGGAGCATACATGGAGACACATGCAGACATCATCCTTGTGCTTAAACTTGAGTGGGCACCTGCTTTGTTTGCTTGATCTTTGGTAAAATGCAACTCAGTTGTTAGCCTTTTTTTCATGCTATAATAGTGATGTGAGTTCTGTGTATTTTGAAAATTTTTCTGTCAAAAGGTTTGGCAGTAAGCTAGAGTTTCATCTGCCTGTCTCTTTTAATTTTTACAATTTAACAAGTGTGTAGCTGAGTGTTATTAAATGGATTTGTATTGCTGTGCACTGACATCCCTCTTTACATAGAACTTAACTTGTGGGTGAAGACAATTTTCTTTTGAAAGAGTGGCTTCCTAATAATTCTTCTCTGTTGTTCTCCCTCCAGAATCTGTACCGATTTGAGGGCACCGGGTTTTCAAATATCCCTCAACTTATAGATCACCACTTCTCAACCAAGCAGGTCATCACCAAGAAGTCTGGAGTGGTTCTGCTGAACCCTATTCCTAAGGTATGCTGAGCTCCTGTTTCTTTGTTGTAAAAAATGTATACTTGTTAGCACTTCCCACAATGAGGAAAGTTTTAAGTTGTGAATACTAATAACTCCTGGCGTAGCTGAAATACAAACTTCCTTTAATTTTATTAAGACACATTGCCTTTCTGCTCAGTTTTTGCTAGGATACAAATGGCCTCATTTCTTTCATTCCTAATCTGTCTTGGAAGATGTGAAATTCATTCTTCGAAAGGTCTTAGCAAAAGATTTGAAGATGAACATATCAAAGAATGCATCTGGCAATTAGGAGTTAAGTCAGAATTTTAGGTTGGAGTGTGAAGTTTACAATGTAGTGCACGTTTGGGACAGTTTAACGCTACACTGTTCTTAGAAAATGTACCTTCCTGGGCTTAGAAACTGTACCTTCCCAGGCTGCCAGGTCGAAGATCGCTTTAGATCACTTTTACCCCTAGGATCTATCACAGGACAATTCTTTCATGTGCTGAGACACGTGCGTGGTTTGGAATGGGCATGAGGAATGCTGGTGTGTTGCAAGCATCACGGGAGGCACCCAGACCAGAGGGCAGCAGTGAGCCCGGTGAGCCTTTTAGCACCTTGAGTGTTGGGGGAATTGGATTGGGGATGACAGGAGCTCTTTAATTGAGGATGTGTGACATGAAGAATGGTGTCAAGATGGGAAAGACATTAAAAGTGGTGGGTGACATGTATGCATTTGATTTTTATAGAACTAGGGGCTCTTCTAAGTTGAAGTGGCAGTCCCAAGAATGATGATATAATTGAAAAATTTAAAAAGTTACTGTGTTTTCCCTTGTTAGTCTAGAAAATAATGTCTGTTTAAAGTGATCCATCTTAGGACTTTACCATTAGTACATTAATCAAAAGTGAATCATGGTTCTCATCCAGTATTGTCCCTGCAGCGTAGCTCCTCCCCAGTTTGCTTCAAACTCATCTCATCACATCTGACGTCAGCCTGCTCTTACTTACGCCCAGCTTCTCAGAACCCACAAGCCTGAGGTTGCCTTTAACGTCCTCTTTTATACCCCAGCTTCTCCAGTCAGATGACAAGAGCTTTGTGTTCTTAATTATATACTTGACCGTAGGAACTCCAGTCCTAGTATATCCTGTTCTGAATCAACCTCAATTTAGTAACATACATTTTACCCAAATGGTTAATACAAAATAAACTGTTTTTACATATCTAGATGCTTAGGTTCACAGACAACCAAATATTTGCACAGTCTGTAGGCTTAGATCCAGTTAGAGATCAAACCCAGGGTAGAAATTAACTTGCCAATCTGGGCCTGAGCAGGAATAGATAATTTCAAATATAATTATACCTCTTACTGCATAGAAATTTCCATGAAATGAACTTAGGTGATGGATTAGATTCTCTAGGCTATTACATGGTCAGTTATTATTTTTCTGTCAGTTCTCTAATACTGTGGAGTCCATTATTCTATCATTCTACAGCACTAGTTATGCAAATAAATAGCACGTTAAAGAGCTGCATTTGGTTGTCTGAGGAGGTAAAAACCTAACGCTGATCTACCTGTTAACCTGATACAGAGCCCTGCTATTTGAAATATGCGCATTGGTATCTGTTTATTGTAAACATTGTTACACACTTGGTTCTAGGAATCGTATTACTCTTTTTAAAGATAATTGGATTACAGGTTATGAAGGGCAATTTTCAATTATGAGTGGAGAGCAAATTGGTATGGATTTTGTTGTGGTGGTATTATTACCATATATCTTCCTTCAAAAAGTTATTTGTACTCGTATTACTGAATCTGTTTCTTGATCTAAATTGTGTAAGAAGCTAGTATATTTGACCATATAAAATTAGATATAAGATATCTAATTTTCATCTTTCTATATTTTTAGCCTTCATAGAGAATGCTATTTTGCTTTAGGAGCAATTTTTGTTTCCTATGTAATGTTTTTCTCTTATTCATGAGAATATAATTTTATTACTGTAATGCCTACAGTGACTAAAGTAGTTTGTTAATCTTTACCATTTGCATTTACTCACAAGTGTAGGGAAACTAGACAACTAGAATGGGAGGATTGCTTATTTTTTATAACTTAATAATGATACTAGTGAATGGTACCTTACCCATCTGCTCCTCAGCTGTGGACTGTGTTTTCCTGTACTGCCTCACAGAGCCTTTGTAGGAATTTAGGACAGGGGAAGTGTTGTAAGAAGGACTATCCGGTCACTCATGTTGTCTTAAAGCCACAAACCTAGTGGGCTTCTGTGGCTGTCCTTAGTTTAGTTGACTCATGCTGTCTTAAAGCCACAAACCGAGTGGGCTTCTGTGGCTGTCCTTAGTTTAGTTGACTCATGCTGTCTTAAAGCAGCAGACCGAGTGGGCTTCTGTGGCTGTCTTTAGTTGCTTCTCAAGAATCCTTTCATCCAAGAGCCTTCTCTGTCATGTATACATAGTGTATTCTCATTGTATGTTCTCTCATTTCTTATTTCTCAGTGGTTAATTTCTAATGCTTACATATAAGCACCTTTAAAAGGCATCATGCATTTTAATTGTTTTCTCTCCCTCAAGTGCAGTGCAAATTCCATGAAGCCAAAAATGTGTTTGACTTATTATTGGTGTCTCCCTAGTACCCTGGAAGAGTACTAGACAAGAGGAAGCATTCAGTAAATGTTAAAAGATTGACTCCATCAGTTAATTCCTAGGACTTTGGGGTAACACCCCCACCTTCACCCCCATCCTCTCCAGTGCTGTATTGAGTGAGGTGCCTCCTGAGTACCCAGCAGGCCATCAGCCATGGAGGCCGATCCTTGGCCCTTGGTCCACCTCTTCACATGCTTTAGCTTAGGTTTCCCCATATCACTACGGATTGTGTTGTATCCTTAGCTCTAGACAACATTGTTGCTGCTGTTGGTGTCATATAGGATGGTGAATGAGGAGCTGTTGCTTTGCATGGTAACAGGCCTGCCAAGATAACAACTGATGAAGACAATGTTGGGTTTTGCATCTGTATTTTTAGCCATGAGTTCCAGAGCACAGACTTCAATAGAAGCTGGGAGACCTGTTTATTTTACAGATAATGTGAATGTGGATTCAAGGAAAGGAGGTCTTCTCCTTTAATAAGATGCTAGATAAGTCTGTATAAAAGGCAAATCACGAAACTAGTATTGGGCACAGAGGAATTTGAGATACAGTGTAGAATTTGAGAAAATATAAGTAGGAATTCACCCATTTAACATTTAAATGGCATTTCAGAAGTTATTTTATTGGTCCCATATAAACTTTGTAGGAAGAAATTCTCTGAATGGTCTTCAAAGCTCAAGTGTTCATGAGCGGACGCAGGTCAGTCAGGCAGAGAGCTGCTTCTTGAGCCCTAGGTACATGCTTGTCTCCTGGCGGAATCAGGGGACTGTGGTTGTTTACCGACTTTCGTGTGAACTGCTAAGATTTTAGGGCAGATATGTAGAGACGGTGGTGAGTTTCTCCGTGACTAAAGCAGAGAGGCCTGGCAGCAGCATGAGGATCAGTCACGCCCAGAGCCGTCCTCAGAGTAGAGGAAGACTGGGAGGCTGGAAGGCTTTGCGTGGTCTCCGATGACTCGGGGCTGGCTGTCTGCTTTGCTACAGTAGCACCTCTCCAAGTGTTGTTATCTAAGGTCATCTTTCATAGTGGCTATGACACAGTTTCTAGTGTATTTGAGGTTTTCTTAGTTTAGCTTTTTTGTGAAACCAGAGAGACTTCCTTTTCTCTAAATCTATGCCCACATTCCTTAATGTAGGACGAATAATAAAAACCCAGAGACAGATATTGGGGTTAAAGCTGAAGATCAGAGAAGCAAAGTGGCCAGCCACTAACTCTACCTCAGACTGAAAGGATGATCCCGTCTCCATGAATCCTCAGACTGAATCCGACTGCATCTGTCTCCACCAAACCTCAGACTCCTAGACTGCTTCTGTCTCCTCCCACCTTGTATTCCTCTCTGGGTTCAAAGGTGTGGCCACCACTGTCTAACCTCTGTGGCTACCTAGTGGCTTAGTGTGAGTAGCTAACTAGTGGCTTAGCTCTTAACTAGTTATGTGGCTAACGAGGGCTTAGCTCTGCACTCTCATCTTCAGGCAAGCTTTGGTAGATCATAAACAAAATATCACCACATCTTAATTTATTAAGATGCATTGGGGAGTTTTTAAGATAATTTTATATTTGAATAAGGAGAATAATGGAAAATACACATGGTTTAGTGCTCATTCAGGTTTTTTTCTTACTATGCACTGTATGCTCAGCAGCGTTCTGAACTGTCAGGAGTAAACGCTCTAAGATCAGAGTAAGGAGATGTCAGGGCTGTGTTAATGTTGTGAAGGCTTGAGTCAGATGCTGCAGGGCTGCATGTTTCATGGAAAGCAATAGCTACTGCTTTTCATGTTAAAATAAGTAAAATTTAATTTTTGATGATTTGAGACACTTTGGCCTTGAACTCACTGTGTGGCTGAGAATGAACTTAAAGTCCTGGTCCTATATCTCTACCTCTGCAGTGCTGGGATTAAAGACTTGCAGTACCACACCTGACTTGGATTAAAAGTTATGGTCAAATAATGTTTCTTGGTATAGTATAGGTAGAGATGTGAAGATCAAAGAGCTATCTATGTGGAATATGTGGGGTGACAATAAAATGATTAACAATTTAGCATGGACACCAGCCCATCAGAATGTTCGGTCCGTCTGTAGGTATGTTTCCTAGATGGTTATCCTCAGAGAGGGAGAGAGAGAGAGGGAGGGAGGGAGGGAGGGAGGGTGTGTGCGTGTGTGTGTGTGTGTGTGTGTATGTGTGTGTGTGTGTGTGTGTGTGTGTGTGTGTTCTCTGGGAAAGAATGCTCTTCACGCTGGCATAAATTGTAGGGACCAGGATGCTGGAAATCACTATACAAGAAGGAGGCTGGGAAATAGGCATAAATAGATTAACTTAATAAGTAACCATATTTTTAAAATACCAGTTGTTTGTTGAATAACTTA